GATGACGCTTTTGGGACCGTCAAATCACAGATTCTCGCAATGAAACCCACACCTAGTTTGGCCGAAGCTTACCATTTAATAATGAGTGACGAACAGCAGCGTCACATTTCCAATTCCCGCCGTCCCCGTGTCGAGCCGGCTGTGTTCCAAGCAAGTGGGGAGCGTCCAGCACCCTCGGGTTTTCTCCAGGGGGAGAGGAGCGGTGATGGCCGCAATGTTAGCCGCAATGACAACCGCCCTCGTGATGCTGATGGGCGCCCGATGTGCACGCACTGCCAACGCGCTGGTCACTTCAAAGAAACATGCTATAAGTTGCATGGTTACCCATCTCGCACCTCGGGCAGCAGTGATCAACCTTCACGTCGTCGGGGAGAACGTCATGAACGCGGCCAGCTCAGCACTCCGCAGGCAGCAGCAGTTGACTTTGAGAAAAGTCCCCTCCCTGGCCTATCTCCGGCGCAATTCACCAGCTTTACAGGTTCGTATCCCCAATGGTACAGGAGTGCCAGTTCATCGAATTGGCTCAGCTCAATTGTCTAATGATCTTTTCTTACGCCGATTACTGCATGTTCCGGCCTTCCAGTGCAATTTACTTTCTGTTAGTCGTCTTACGGCTGATCTCCCGATGGCTTTGGTTTTCTTAAAAGACTTTTGTGTTGTCCAGGACTTACCCTCCAAAAGGCTGATTGGGATGGGTAAGCATGTTGATGGACTTTACTATCTGCAACTGTTTGATGAGCGGCATCCAGTGGCACACTCTGTTCGTCAGGCAGTGGACAGTTCTACTTTGTGGCATGCTCGCCTAGGTCACCCCTCCTTGGCAAAGTTATCTGTTCTTCAGCAGTTTATCTCCAGTCCAATAATCCAGCAGAAGAATTCTAGTCATTCTTGTTTTAGGGCTAAGCAGGCTCGTGACTCTTTTCCTTCGAGCTCAATTACTACCCAGGATTGTTTTGAATTGATACATGTTGACATTTGGGGAGGTTATCAGACACCTTCTTTTGCTGGAGCTCGTTATTTTTTGACAATCATGGATGATTATAGTTGTGCAGTTTGGGTTTTCTTAATGAAGTTTAAATCAGAGGTTGGACGTCATCTGTTGTACTTTTGTCGCATGGTGAACACTCAGTTTCATAAACAGGTGCGTCGTATTCAAGCAGACATGGCCCGGAGTTCGCCACCAATGAACTGCGCGACTATTATGAGCAAACTTGTATCATTCTTCAAACCTCCTGCACTGACACGCCACAGCAAAATGGTGTCGTTGAGCGGAAACATCGTCATCTCTTAGAGACTGCTCGACCACTACGATTTCATGCCAATTTACCTGTGCATTTCTGGGGAGAGTGTGTTCTTACTGCAGCTTATCTACTCAATCGCTTACCCCTCACTCCGATTGGTAATCGTTCACCTTATCAGGTCATGTTCGGCAAAGACCCTTCTTATACCCATCTGCGCAGTTTCGGGTGTTTGGTTTATGCTCGTGACAACCATCATGGGCTTGATAAATTTGGCACACGAGGTCGACCTGGTATATTTGTGGGCTACCCTGGTTCCCAACGTGGGATCGTCTCTTTGATTTGGAAGATAAAAATATTTACACTTCCAGGGACGTCAAATTCATGGAACACATCTTCCCCTATCACATTTCGGCCTCTCCTGTGCAACTGATCCTTTAAATGAAGCTGGACACTTGCCTTTGCCCACACCTCCTCCTGCATGGGTGGACGACGCCAATCCTCTTCCACACGTGCCCCATGTAAGTATCCCTTGTCCTCCACCTTTGACGCCTAGCACACCACCACGTCCTACACCCGATTCTCCACCTGGTACTTCCTCGACCGACCCACTTCATTCCTCTACACCTCCGAGCCCTTCTACCACGCCTCAGTCCCCACCTCTCCCTGCTTCACCACCTGCTGCCGCTGCACAAGCCACTCCACCTCGACGAAGTGACTGCATTCGTCAGCCTTCCACTCGACTTGCAGGTTATGATGTTAACCTGCCGGGTTTTGCTAACACGACTTCTGTAGAATATCCTTTGGAAGATTATCTCAACTACAGTTGTCTTTCCCAATCTCATCATGCTTTCGTGGCCACTGTTACCTCTGTTGACGAGCCATGATATTATCATCAGGCAGTTCGTTACGCGCATTGGTGGGAGGCCATGCGCAAGGAGATTTTGGCTCTTATTGCCAATGGGACCTGGGAGTTGTGTGAGTTGCCAGCTAGAAAGCGTGCTATTGCCTGCAAATGGGTTTTCAAGGTTAAATTCCTTCCTGACGGTTCCATCGACCGGTATAAAGCACGTTTGGTCGCCAAAGGTTTCACTCAAATTGAGGGTATCGATTATCACGATACTTTTGCACCAGTTGCTAAACTGGTTACTGTTCGATGCTTGCTTACAGTTGCTGCTCAGCGTGGTTGGTTTATTCAACAGTTGGACGTCAACAATGCCTTCACGGGGATTTGATCGAGGAGGTCTACATGCAAGTTCCCCAGGGTTTTGGTCAACCTGGTGATACTCGCGTCTGTCGTCTACGCAAATCTATTTATGGTCTGCGTCAAGCCTCACGGAATTGGTATCAAAAGTTCACTCAGTCTCTCATGTCCTTGGGCTTCTCCCAAAGTCGTGCCGATCATTCTCTGTTCACCTATCGTCAGGGTACCACTTTTGTTACTGCTCTCATCTACGTTGATGACGTCATTCTCGCTGGCACGGACATGGTTTTCATTCAGAAGGTGAAAGACTTTCTTCATGTCCGTTTTACCATCAAGGACTTAGGAGACCTCAAGTATTTTTTGGGCATCGAGGTAGCCCGTTCTCCTAAGGGTCTGGTTTTGAATCAGCGTAAATATGTTCTGGATATTTTGTCTGAAGCTGGGGTCACTGCTTGTCGTCCGAGTGCTACTCCCATTGAGCAGAGTCATCACTTGGGTCGTGCTCCTTCTGATCCGGCTTCTGATCCTGCTGCTTATCGGCGACTAGTTGGGCGCCTTCTCTATCTCACTGTCACTCGTCCTGACATCACCTATACTGTTAATCTGCACAGTCAGGCTGTTCATTCTCCCACTTGTGCTCACGAGGATGCCGCTGCTCGCATTCTCCGCTATCTCAAGTCTTGCCCAGGACGCGGTCTTTTCCTTCCTTCGACTGGCGGCTTGTCATTAACCGCATACTGTGATGCGGCCTGGGCTGGTTGCCCCACTACTCGGCGCTCCACCACTGGGTATTTCATCACGCTCGGTGCCTCTCCTATTTCTTGGCGCACCAAAAAGCAGTCTGTCGTTGCCCGCTCCTCTACTGAGGCTGAATATCGTGCTATGGCCACTACTGTCAGTGAGGTTCTTTGGTTGCGTTGGTTGCTACGAGACCTTGGTGTACATCATACCTGCCCGACTCCGATATACTGCGATAATCAAGCTGCTCTTCACATTGCAGCTAATCCGGTGTTCCATGAGCAAACCAAGCATGTTGAGATGGATTGCTACTTTGTTCGCGAACGAGTGCAGTCTCGTGATGTCCTCCCTCTCAAGATAGCTACCTCTGAGCAGCCCGCTGATCTTTTTACCAAAGGATTGAGCTCCGATCAGTTTCACCATCTTCTGGTCAAGCTCGGTCTGCTGGACATCCATTCCTTCGCTTGAGGGGGAGTATTGCGGTTCCTTTCTTACTTGTTTGCCACTTTTAGTAAGTTAGGAATCGTAATGTAATTTGCCATACCTCTAGTTCCTTGTTGTACGAGGATGGCTCTCTATTTATTGTAAGGGTTTGCGGCAGCCGAACCCTAACTCTAAAATCATCATCATCAATAAGAAATCCTAAGAACTCACGTTCTCCGTGGACTAGTCTCGTTCGTATATAACGAGGAAACCACGTAAAATCCCGGTGTTCGTGTCTTCGTTTTATCGTTTTCTTCACTCCATACATGCAAGGTAAAAATTATGATACAAAAAATATATATCTGTAGCATAATTATTATACTAATAAAATCCAACTAAACAAATGTAGCATAATTCGTAGTTTTCATAGCTGAAAATAGAGGTGACCATTTTGTATTCACTCCACAAATTCAATCTTATCATCAAATACTTCGAGCTAATATACTAGCGAAAACAATTAATATTACTGAAAAACCATTCACCAACTTTAGAGATTTCTAGATAGATAGGGATTCATAATCATACATGTCAGATATGTAGACAAAAAACAAACACATCGTGGCAGAGGCGGACCCAGGAGGAGGGGGTGCGGTATCATCACGGAACACCTCTAAATTTTGGCAGAAAAATTAATAAACATCCGATAGTAGTTTGAGTAAGGGAAAATGCTAATGTATGTGATTCAAATCTATAATACAGTAGCTACTAGCGAAACATTTTATTCTACTACTTGACTACACTTTATTTTTTTGTTGTGACTTTTTAATATATTCTCAAATTTCCAAAGTCTAAAACTAAACTCACGAATTATCCCTTATCCCACCGTATTCTAACACATAATTTTATTCCGAAGAGTTCGGTCATATTTCTAATTCTTTACTTCTACATGATTTTGGAGAATTACTGTCATTGTGTTAAATATGATAAGCATTTTTATGGATTAAAAGAAAGTAACGAATTAGCTGAGTTGATGCTATCTCATCAGTCATCACCCCGTATCATTATGAGCTGTGATCAAGTCTGCCGGGCTTGGGCTTGGGCTTGGACTTGGGTAGAAAAAGAAAAGAAAACATGGTGGATGGATGGATGAAGTATTGGGCCGGACGATAGCGAATTGAGTATATGATTGTTTTTGTTTGGGTTTAGGAAAAGGGCGTGAACAAATTACCAAACGTACTCAGGCCCATGCAGATATGCTAATTGAAGCCCATATGTCGGCAGCAATCTATAAACTATTTAATTCTCAACTTCAGTATACAGTTGCTATATTGTGGTTTCGATCCTGATAATTTTCAGTTTTATCAATACTTGATATCTTTTGGAAAAAAAAAACCATTCTACTTCAAACCACAATGTGTTGCCGCCGTCGGTAGTCCGATCGACAATGTCGTCTCCACCACCGTCGAACTTTCATTGCTGAATCCCACGCTGCTTCCGGCCGTCGCCGCCGCCATCTCGCGATCTGCCTCCCATCTTGCCGGTTCCCGTGGCTTCTCACGGCACTACAATAAAAAGTTTTAAACCTCAGGACGACATCAACAACAGCGACCAAAGGTCGCATTTTTTTGAAGTAAAAGTGTGGCAATTACTAATATGTATATCACTTTTAACTGCATGCATGCTTTTACCTTTTCACATAAAGTCGCCTTCTGTTCTAGCAACTCCTTTTCCTGCAAACAAAAATTCAAATCACAGGATATAACTATCTTATCGGAAACATCATGTACCTCGAAATAAAATCCTATATATATTGTGACCGTTTGAGAAATTGACATCAAAGAAAACACATTTTCCAGATGACCTAATCCTAAGATTAACGAAATACAGTCATACAGATTACTAAGATTGAAAGTGTATGCATGTAAAGCACATTTTTCAGATGACCTAACCCTAAATGTTACAAACCGCGGCATTAAATAAACTATCATCGGGGGATCGAGAGTCCAGTATTTTACCTGTAACTTTAGCTGTTCCATCTGCTCTATGAACATTTGATCCTGAACCCAATACGAAGAAGCAAAGATTACTGGAAACCCAATTTTTACACGAATATATTCTCCATGATCGAATGGCAATTAATGGTCATGAGTAGAAAGTATTAATGGGTGCATGCTACATACTTTTCTGAGCCTGATGTTTGACAAGCTTCTTTCCAACTGCTCGCTCAGGCCCCGGATCTCTTCCAGGGAACACGACCCCAACTGCTCCCCTAAGAGCTTCCTGTATCGATCATTCCAACCCTTAATGTTAAACTTTCTCATGAATAAGTTCTGTAATTAATTGGTTTCAAGGAGGAAGGACGATGGTGGAAGAAACCTTCTGGAGGCCTCAAGCTGCTCAATCTTCTTGGACATAGAAGCGGATTCTTGCTTCAGTTGCTGCATTCATGTGGATTCAACTACACTATTGAGGATAGAAGAAGGAAGAAGCAGAAAAAAATCACTCCTACGTACAGTACAGTGCAATATATAGTTGGAGATAGTAAAGGGTTTAGGGTCATCAATAGTCAAAAACACTCTGATAATTATTATTCGGATTAGTAGTATTTGAATAGTATTAGGTTATTTCTTAGGGGTTTCCCGTATTAATCTATAAATATGTATTCGAATATTCATTCATTTACGATTAAGCAACGATTAATCGAAGAAATTATCTCTCCAAATCATATTCTCTTCTCTCTCGATCTTGTCTATCTTTCTTCTCCAAAGACTTAGATCGTTCCTCCCAAAATCTAAGTTCTCCCCCCCTAATTCCTAGTTATATAATCCCTAATTCCCAAACATCAATTCCGATCTGGAAATCCGTAAGGAAATTTGTTTCTGACACCCTCTAACAGTGCAATATTATCACTTTTACAGTGCACTCATTGATTAGGAGGACTAACTGACCTGAATGCAGTAATTTGTATCTCTCTTGTCGACTTCAACTCCTGCATACTTTTGGTACCGAGCTATCGTCTTCTGCATTCTGCAAAACCCAATTTCCCCAGAAAACAAAACAAACAACAAGTAATTAAGCCGTGGTCTTAAGATCCTCACTCACAGTTGACCTCAACATTTCTTGCAAGGATATACAATTTCTCACCTCCAATTTCTACTTGGTCTACTTTAGTTAAAACATGCATATCAATATGGATTAACCATAAACCTAGTTTACCATGAAGGACAGACTATACATGCATGCAACGACCTCTTTAGAAATATCATTATCAAGAAGATCACAACTTGATGTGCTACATTACATTAAATTTTTTTTTTTTGCTACCAACCTACCATTTATCTGTCTACTTAACCCTATTAATGATACCACTTCTATGTGGATTTTTCAATGGAAGACACTTATATTGGTATCCGTTTCTGCCTAGAGGTAACGTCGATGGTAAACATTTCATTTCTCTTCTTTCCAATTTTATTTCAATAAACAAACACTACTCAACCCCGAATCCGCGGGTGGATAACCCTATCAATCATTCAGATTTCTGAATCAACACAAGTTTAATCGGAACTTTCTAAATTCCATACATAAAAAGTTAAATCTTTGACCGACAACGAACATTAAACCAAACTCAGACACTTTAATCAAATTCGCTACAAAATGTCAATTCATACAACATTAAACGATACATTCTCAACACGTATCTAAATAAGTACTAAATCACAAACATTTCATAAACATATTTGAAAACTTTCAAATTCAACAGACCAATCAAAGTCCATATATAAGGCGTCCTGCACGATGTGTTAGTGCAATGCAACAACTTATGCAAAGCTCACATCAACAAAGCAAGGAGGGATATGTGATTCATAAGGAACATGCAAACTTAATTGATAAGGTGCTTTTAGGTGTGAAATGAATGAGTTTTTGTAAGAACTCTTAAGTTAAACGTACTCGGTATGAATTGGTGCAAAGATGAATGACCTCTCATTACAAAGTCCTTTACATAATCGCATTTTATTTGGTTTTGTACATATGAAAGGATTATGTATTTCCACCATAAAATTTGCAAAATCTTTTTTGTTTCCAATGATCTCGATTATACATCCTAAAAATGAACTGCAGTGAAGGTTTAAACGCTATTTATCTTGCAGTAGATTAATTGCTACATCTTATCACAATTAAGCATGAAAAATGATCGAACGATATACAAATAGACGTTCTTTAAGTCAAAGTAAATACTGAGTTAAATATCATTCTTGTTATCTAAGATATATATGCATGATTGTAATATCTTCATGTAGAAAGTACGACAGAAAATTGGGTTTTTTTTTTGGCAAATAAAAACTAGAATATTTTGCTGTAAAATCATCATTATAAATCTCTTAATTTGTTTTGGTAAATGCATCGTTAACTAGGATCGCAACAAGTAAACAGAACTAACCAGTCCTTCCTTACACAATACCACGACATTTAACGTGCTTTTATAATTAAATCTGCACATCCTTATTCGCCAGTTCAAAATCAGGCTTATACTATGAGATCGTAAAAAAAAAAAAAAAAAACAGCGAAGACCAAACCCCGAAAAGAGCACATTCTATCATATCTAGCCCATTCATACTTCGGTTCAATTTTTGTTATTTTTTTGTTGTAACAAAAAAACAAAATAACACAATAATATTGAAATTCAAAACAAGATCGCGAATTGTACCAATTACATTTGACTTTTAATATAAGTTAATTTGACATAATGTTGATCAAACCATTATTGATCAACATTATCAATATAGAAGATGACCTTTTAGCTTTAATTGATCGCACATATAGAAATCTTCACCATAAATGTAGGATCATGAAGAAATTCCCGTTAATCGAAATGAATCCAAGCTAATTAATCAACCTTCCACTCAAGTAGCAGACAGAAAATAATCGTCTCTTTATTCTTCCGATTTGAACACACCAATCCTCTCTTCTTGCAGCCAGCCAAACAAGCAACAACTAACCAGTATATATCCACAACATTTTAGCAAAATATCTGGAAAACAGTACGGAAATTATTCCGTGTAAAAATAGAGAGGAAGAAAAAAAACAGTACGGTGAAGTTGGGAGATGGGTCGTCGTGTTTCTTTAGTTTGAAAATAAAGCAAAGTACTCCTCGATCAGTAAGAAAGCAAAGACAACCCACTTAGCTTCATTCCCAGTGTAATTAATTAGTGCTAAACCCAGAAGAGACTGAAAAACTCATGCTATAAGGAAGGAGAAGAGCAGCTTAATTACTCGTGATTAGAGAACTCGGAGAGCCTCCCTCGCTGGGAGAAGACGATGACTGCGATTTCGGCATCGCACAGTACGGACAGCTCGCGAGCTTTCTTCATCAGCCCGCTCCGCCGCTTCGAGAAGGTCACCTGCCGGCTCGCCGGGTTCTCGATCCTCCGAAGCTCCACTTTCCCCCGCACCATCACACCTATTATATTCCCCACCAACACACACACACACACAAAGAAAACCTTAAAGTCACTCAAACCCACAAAGAACCCTAACTAGCAAGCAAACTAACCGCATCTCACCTCGCAGAGTCAGAAGAAGAAGAAGAAGTTGGGATCTTCTTTGGTCTGAGGCCACAAAGAAGAATAAGAAGAAGAAGAAGAAGAAGAAGAAGGGGGAGGGTCGTGGGTCTTTGTTTGTTTAGGAGAGTTTCCTGTTTTGCCCCCATTGATTCTACGGAATATTCATCTATCTCTCGGCTGCTTCAGTCTTTTACCCCTTCTCTACTACTGCTTCAACGCAGACCAGGCGAAGGGAATATTTGCATTTTAGGAAATAAAATGGTGGGATAAAGGAAAGTTAAGATAGTAATTGATGATGATGATGATGATGATGTCCTTCTCCTTCCACAACCAACCAACCAACAAAAACCACAAGGGAAGGGAAGGAAAGTGGGATGGGATGGTGGGAACCTACTCACTCATTTCTTTCTTGTTCAGTTTTGGCAAATTTAAGAATCACCTCTCTCTCTCTAGTTAATTAATAGATTAACAAATGACAGACAAAAAGGGAGTGGTTGAGGGACATTAGTAGCTTCGCCCAACACATTTTCCGCATTCTACTACTATAGATCCATTGTATAATACAAGTTGCAACCATTTCTTAGATCCATTGTATATCTCTCCATACATATGGGCAAATGCTAATGAAGGATGTCTTTCCTAATGGAGGGAAGTGTGGGGAAGCCACCACCGGTGTTGAATTTGGGTTCTTCGCGTTGAAAATTAATGATTCATATCGTTAAATGAAGCTCTTTGTGTTTGTCATTAAGATGCAGGCACCTCATCTTTAACAAACGCGTATAACCACTACTTTTCTTTTCTTTTCATGTTTACAGATTATGATACTATTACCCAACGAGTCGAGGACTGGGTATTTGTTTACAGTAATTAATTAAAAAATATATGAATGTCGAGTATGAGTCTATTTACTTGATATGCCGTATTTTGAGAGAGAGAGAGATACAAATGTATGGGCTTTTAGTTGATTGGCTACGACTTTACTTCACATGGTTGAGGGTTGAATACAATTCAAATTATATGGTCTTACCATTATTTAAAAATAATTACACATCTAGAAAGTGTAACTATAATCAAACAAATCATAGTTTTCACTTTTCAGTTATGCGGGCAGTCTCTACTAGCCACAATCTGAGTGTTGAGTACATTTCTTGACTACCTATTACCTTGGTATAAAGACATAACACGAGATGCATTAAATCCAATTTGTATACCCTTGTGAATTTGGTGGGGGGAAATTTTTTGGATTCAATGAAAAATATTACACATTCTCGAACCATGAGTATCCCGCCAAGAAAAATCAAGTACACAATCTTGAACTAAACCACCACCAACATAAGCCAAATATAGAAAATATGGATTGATTATCATGATTATGAAAAATTATTCAGCACTCATTCATGTAGAATTCTCATTTTGTGAAAAATATTTAAATTTGTAGTAAAAATTTATATTCGAAAAATAATTTACTGTAAGAAACCCTAAATATTTCGGTTAACAGGCTGGCTCCAAACTAGTGATAAAAGACAGAAAAATAATACAGCACATAAACATAAATTTAATTGTATAGAAAATGCGTGGGGTGGAATTTGTTTATGTAAGAAAATTAGAAAAATAAAAACGGAAATGCAGTAGGCAGGCATGCTTTAATAGTTTAATAATTTGATCAACATCGTACAATTGACGTGGGCAGCGGCAAATAATAGACTGACGTGAGGCGGGCAGCGGTCAGCGGACAACCAATGGCTACGCATACGCTGCGTGCCCGGCCAGCCCACGTGACGCCATCATCCCCCTCCTGCCCTATCCTCTATGTCCGGTCACTTCCAGTTTTTTGGGCCCTGGCCCAACTACTTAATTCACCTTGCCTTTACTCTGTCTGCCTCCAAAATTGGTAAAAAAAAATAATTATTCGATTCTCCACAATAAGTAATTGTTTCCATTATATGAAGAATAATAACCCTATTCAGTCCTCCGAAATAGAGGTAGTAGTAGTAGCAGCAGCTAGTTAGTCACATCACCAAGAAAATGACAAATGAACCAATAGTGGCTAAAATAAAATATATTAGTATATTACACCGGAGGTAGAAATTTGAACGAAGGGCCGCTAAAATTTAACGGCGAAAGAATTGGAACCATTAGACCAACTTCAATGCAAGCCTCCAAATTTTGGGATCTTCGTCCCCTCCCCAAATTTGGGGTTCATTCTCATTTTTCCTTCTTTTGCTCCAATGTTACACCCTCTATATTTGGAGATCTCCATTACTTAAGTTTTCCATTTACTTAAAAATGTACTTATCGAAGTCTTAGTATAATTTGTTCATGTTAATTTTTGTATAGTTCGTTATCATTTTTAAATACAAATTTTCCGGTAGAATTTTTTTTAATTTTGAGACCAAATTTTTGTTGACAAAAAATGATTGACCTAATTTGGGTTTACACACAACACTTGAAAATTATTGATCTAATTAAATCCCTAACTAATCCCCTAATTAAATCCCTAACTAATCCCCAAATTAAACCCCAATTAACCCTTAAAATCTTAAAAAGAAAAAAAAAACGTCACGTGGTGGGCTTTGTGGAGTCTCTATATTTGGGGAACCCCATTTCCACCCCAAATTTGGGGATCCTTTTGGAGATCTCTCCCAAATATAGAGACTCCTCCATTTATAGAGACTCCATTGGAGCCAACTTTCCCCCAAATATAGAGCCTCCCCTGTTTATAGAGGCTCCATTGGAGAGAGAGAGAGAGGGGAACACGACCCCAACTGCTCCCCTAAGAGCTTCCTGCAGTATCGATCATTCAATTCCAACCCTTAATGTTAACTTTCTCATGAATAAGTTCTGTAATTGGTTTCAAGGAGGAAGGATGGTGCAAGAAACCTTCTGGAGGCCTCAAGCTGCTCAATCTTCTTGGCCATAGAAGCGGTTTCTTGCTTCAGTTGCTGCATTCATGTGGATTCAACTACACAGAGCAAGGGTATAAGAAGAAGAAGAAGCAGAATATATCACTCTGACGTGCAATATATTGTTGGAGATAGTAAGGGTCCTCAATTGTTATTACAGAAGTAACGTGTAATCAGGACAACTGACCTGAATGCAGTAATTGGTATCTCTCTTATCAACTTCAACTCCTGCATACTTTTGGTACCGAGCTATCGTCTTCTGCATGCTGCAAAAACCCCAATTCCCCAGAAAACAAAAAACAAGTAAATATTGTGTTTGAGCCGATAAAGCTCTTTGTGTAACCAGAGAAACATTATATCACTTTGTTTAGTTCTTGCAAGGATATACAATTTCTGATCACCTCCAATTCTGCTTGATCTATACTTTAGTTAAAGACATGCATTGGGATTAACCATAAACCTAGTTTACCAACGAATTGAAAGATGATTTATCAAGAACATCACAACTTGAAGTGCTACCTTGCATTAAAAACAAATTGTAACCAATCAACCATTTATCTATCTACTTAACCCTATTGATGACGGGAAGACATTAGTTTTAGTATCCATATCTGCCCGCAGAGAGGTAACATCAATGGTAAGCATCTCATTTATCTTCTTCCAATTTTATTTCAATAACAAAACATATTGTCACAACCCGGCCGAGGACATGACCAGCGTGTGGACCCTATCAACCGTTCATACGAGGATAACCGTAATTGTCTAAATTACGTACATTCAAATATCGAATTTTGGGCTGACAACAAACAATAAACCGAACTCATACACTTCAATCAAACTCGCTACAAAATGTCAATTGAAACATCTTAAATGATACATTCTCAACACAAACCCAAGAGAAACTATGGAGTGCTCTAAAGATGAACACTACAAAAGGGCACTAACATTCTATCTAGCTAGCGTACCCCCTAGATTCAGATGTCACCAATAAATCCAACCAAAATTTACTATGACTAAGTCTAAGTCGAAAGGAAGTACTTATATGGAAAATGAATCGTCCATGGATGAGCTAACAATCAATGAGTAATGGCTATAACTCACAACTTAAAAATAAAATAATAAAATAACAATATTGTAGGAACTTTGAAGTTAAACGTGATCAATGTGGAGCAGTATAAAGATAAGTGGTATTTCAGGAAGTCATCATGATAAGGGCTGTCCATTTGGTTTTAACCGAAACCAATCCAATTGGAAAGCTCATGGTTACAGTTTTTTGGTTTTAAACCAATAAGCAACTTAATGGTTTTGGTTCGGTTAAAACCGAAAAACCAATAGAAACCAATAAGAATAAAAGTATTTATCAATAAATAATTTTTTTTTGTTTCTTTTGACACGCATGCCAACCAATAATTTCTAATGGCCATTTACCATTATTATGACGTTTATTCAACTAAAATAAGGAAAATGAGAATAAATATGAGTGTATGAGTACATGTTGGTTTTTTGGTTATCCAAATCAAAACAAAAATCATTAAGGCCCTTATTGGTCTTCGGCAACCAAAAACAGTAAGGATCTTAGTGGTTTTAGTTTTTGGAGTTAACCAAACCAAACCAAATTGACAGCCCTAATCATGATGCACTCCAAAAATAAAACCGTGCGAAAGTAGGCTCACAACGAACAATATCTACCTAGAAAATGGTTGCAAAGGTGCACATATATCTCCATTTTAATTGAATTTGAAGGCTATGCATGTGGCTTAGAAGACTTGAAAAGAAATAAAACTTACTAAGTGAAAGATCATCTCAATTTTAATTTTAACTTTACTCCCCTTGATTTGATTCCTTACTATTGTCTTTAGAGATCTTCACATAATAACTAATCACAACATGCACATATTAAAGGTGACGACGAAACACGATTTTTTTAGAAAGTCACTAGAACTCAAACACATCAGCAATAAGTTACTTGTGCTCATCATTCGGTTAATTGCAAAGGGCTTCACATAATCACATTTTATTTGGTTCTGCACACATGAAAGCTAGGATTATGTATTACGATGCATCTCGTTCATAAAAGTTGTCAAATCTTTGGTTCCAATGATCTCGATTATACATTCTACGAAATTATATATCTGCTTTAGTTGATCACCTACAGAAATCTTCACCATAAATTTAGCATCCTCAAGAGTTACTGTTAATTGAAATGAATCAAGTAATAAATAACCAACCATTTCTAGATTAGCACACAGGAAATAAGAGTCTTTGTTGTTTTGACTTCAACACAAATCCTCTCTTCTTGCAACAGTACGGAAATTGTTGGGTGTAAAAATAGAGGGGGAAAACAGTACGGAGAAGTGGGGAGATGGGTGGTGCTGTTGTTTAGTTTGAAAATAAAGCAAAGCAAAATCAAAGCTGCAGGCCAAATTAAGTACTCCTCGATCAGTAAGAAAGCAAAGATAACCCACTGCAATTAGTGCAAAGGAAACTAAACCCAGAAGAGCAGACGGGTAGCTGCAGCAGCTTACTCATGGTTGGAGAACTCGGAGAGCCTCCCTCGCTGGGAGAAGACGATGACTGCGATTTCGGCATCGCAGAGTACGGACAGCTCGCGAGCTTTCTTCAGCAGCCCGCTCCGCCGCTTCGAGAAGGTCACCTGCCGGCTCGCCGCGTCCTCGATCCTCCGAAGCTCCACTTTCCCCCGCACCACCACACAAAAGAAGAGGGTCGGTCGGCCTTTTATTTGTTTACGAGAGTTTCCCGTTTTGCCCCCATTGATTCTACGAAATATTCGTCCATCTCTCTGCCTGCTTCAGTCTTTTCCCTTCTCTACTACTGCTTCAACGCAGCGAAGGGAATATTTGTGTTTACACAAAAAATTAACCTTGTACCACATCGGTTAAAAACAAGAAATTAAATGGTTTTATAAGACTAACTTTATCATATCAGTTTAAATTAGTTGAATGGGTCATGAGGATTCAGTTTTTGGGCCCATTACTCCGTGCCACCACGCACGCCATTCATATCCAAATTTGACTAAGTATGAGAGCTACCTCCATGACACGCAGAGGGGGGTGAGCATCATACCACCACTCCCAGGACGTGGCAAAGGGGTGGACATCATACCACCACCCCAGGAGGTACCAAGGGGGGTGGCCACCATCATACCACCCCCAGGACGTGGCAAGGGGGGTGGGCATCATACCACCACCCCCCAAGAGGTACCAAGGGAGGTGAGGACTACCAACATAGCACCCCCCATGGTATGATCAGGGGGTGAGGGGTCACCAACGCCAGCTCCCATGAGGACGATATAGTGGTGGGGTGATCCATATGACCTCATGGGGGATGCCCCCCAATGTATGGTGAGGGGGTCACCAACGTACACCCCCAATCCCCATGGTATGGCCAAGGCAAGGGGGTCATGTGAGCACGTGGTCTCTTTACTGTCCTAGTGGTGAAGTATTTTTGTCATTTTTAATTCATGTGATTCAAATACCCATCCATATGTGGCACATGGTATTCCATCATGCCTTAGCCATTTTTTCTCTATAGACAAGCGAAGCTATGGAGGAGATGTCAGGGCTGAAGAATGTGGCACATCCAACGTCAGGGTAACCGTCGAAGCAGTTGAGAGGGTAACCGCCACTCCACGTCAGCAGAGCAGTTTCTCGAAGCAGTTACTTCTGGTGGCTATAAGTAGGAGGTGAAGATGAAGGAGAAAAGGTTGGCCAAAATCACACCAGACAGCACAATGTCAAATTTTATCCTTTTATCTTTACCTTTTCCTCTGCAAATGTAGTCATAGCCATAGTTGTAGTTTCGGAGCTCTCACTGAACCTCCATAGGAGTAGAGTTAATGTAATTTAGTTTGCCTCGTAGATCATCAAGAACATCGAACACCGTTGTTTGAACTTTGTTCAAAGAGGTGTAGACTGTGTTTGTTAATCGTTTGTTTGGAAGTCAAAGGTGCAAATCCAATTCTATTCATCTAGATTTTCTCGCCGGGAAAACAATTTTCATTTTAGGAAATAAAATGGTGGGGAAAAAGGAAAGTTAAGCAATTTGATGATAGGATTGTATTGTCCCTTCCCTCCCGCAACCAAGAAAAACCACAAGAGAAGGAAGGTGGGAACCTACTCACTCATTTCTTTTTCATTTTTGGCAAATTTTAGAATATCGCGCTCTCTCTCCCAGACCGAGACCCCAGTCTCCCTTCTTAATTGATAGATAAACAAATGACAGACAAAAAGCGAGTGGTTGAGGGACATTAGTAGCTTCACCCAACACATTTTCCCCATTCTACTACTATATGTGAGAACAAGAATTTGCAAACTGACACTTTATTCGTGCTTAATGAACAGACTTAAATACTTCTGTGTTTAGCCAACAATCATGGCTTCCACAGTACTGACTACTAACTGAACCCCCCTGCAAATCAGCAGCATGATCCCCACACTTCTAGTTCTACCACAACTGCACAATTGTTCTAACTCAACTGCACATTGGACTAAAAAGACACTTTACAAAACTCAAGTACCAACCAGACATTTAACCAAATCAACAGACAGACTCCAACTAAACACAACGACACCGTTTTCCTTCTTATTCAAATCCACGTTTGAACCTTGGCGCCAAACCAATCCTTTTCCTTCTCGGATTCGGATTCCCCAGCACCTACAGCTCAACTTTGTGCAGCACAGTGAGCTGCAGCAACAAATTCTGCCTCTGTGGTGGACAGAGCACCACAGGTTGCTTTTTGGAGGCCCATGAGATAACTCCTCCTGCCAGAAAAAACACATAACCTCATGTACTCTTCCTGTCATCAGTATCTCCAGCATAATCACTATCAGTATAACCTACCAACTCCTCTTCTTCCTCCCCTTTTCTCTTGTACCAAATGCCAAAGTTCACAGTTCCCTTTAAGTATCTTATTACCCTCTTGGCAGCCAACATGTGCTGTCGAGTTGGATGTTCCATAAATCTGCTAAGGAAACAGACTGGATACATAATATCAGGCCTGGTTGCTGTTAAGTACAACAAACTTCCAATCAACTGCTTGTAGTCTGTAGGATTCACCAATACTCCATCTCCAGATTTGTTCAACTTGCATCTAGGACTCATTGGATTAAGCACATGATTACAGCTTGATAGATTGAACTTTGTTAGAAGTTCTTTTACATACTTTTGTTGACTGATGAACACTCCAGACTCCTTTTGACTAACCTCAACTCCCAGAAAATAATGCATCCTTCCCAGATCTGTCATTTCAAACTCAAATTGCATTGCTTGCTTGAACTCAGCAAGCATCTCATCATCATTGCTTGCATACATCAGATCATCTACATACAAGCTTAGGATCAGAATACTAGTTCCAGCCTTCTTAACAAAAAGTGTATGTTCATATGGACTCCTCTCAAACCCAGACTGAACAAAATAGGATTCTATCCTATTATACCAAGCTCTAGGTGCCTGCTTGAGGCCATAGAGTGCTTTGTGGAGTCTGTAAACCTTATTTTCCTCCCCAGCAACCACAAACCCTGGTGGTTGCTCTACATAAACCTCCTCAGTGAGTTCTCCATTAAGAAAAGCACTCTTGACATCCAGTTGATAGACTGTAATGCCATGATATGCTGCCAGTGCTAAGAAGGTCCTGATAGTATCCCATCTAGCCACTGGAGCAAAAACCTCAGTGTAGTCTATTCCTTCCTTCTGAGAATACCCTTTTGCTACAATTCTAGCTTTGAACTTGTCAATACTGCCATCTTCTTGCAGTTTGGTTTTGTACACCCATTTTAGACCAATGGCCTGAAAACCTTCTGGAAGAGTAGTGAGAGTCCAAGTCTGGTTCTTTTCAACTGAATTCATCTCCTCCTGCATTGCTGCATTCCATTTAGGATCCAGCATTGCCTCCTCAAATGTCTGAGGATCATCAGTGACAGCCACCATAGCCACCCAGTCAGTAGTAGTGAAGCTCATGTCATAATTCTGGAAATGACCAGGTAGTTTTCTGATTCTCTTTCCCTGAGTAGCATTTGGTGTTTCCACCACACCAGTAAGCTCATCCATCTCATCATCATTGGTATGTCCATCCCCTTCTGCTGAACCTACTACAGGACTGGAGGATTGGCCTAGTTCTATTGCTGCTGAAACAACTGGCTCAAGTGTTTTTGGAGTTTCATCTTCTGTGTCTGAATCAGACCATTCTTGGTCACTTCCTTCCCAAGACAAATGTGTCTCCATAGGTTCCTCCCCAGAATTCCAATTCCACCCCTTAGTCTCATCAAACACCACATCCCTACTAATCACAATCTTCTTGGTACTGATATTATAGAGTTTGTAGGCCTTTGACTCAAGTGAAATACCTAGAAACTGACAGGACTTACTCTTGTCATCCAATTTCTTTCTCTGCTGATCTGGAATATGCACATAGGCAGTGCAACCAAAAACTCGAAAATGGGAGACTGAAGGAGGATGTCCAGTCCACATTTCCTGGGGAGTTTTTCCTTGGTTTGCTTTTGTAGAACTTCTGTTTAGAACATGTGTTGTCCAGGCTACTGCTTCTGGCCAAAAAGCAGCTGGAACTTTCATCTCTGACAGCATGCACCTAACCATGTTCAACACTATCCTATTCTTTCTCTCAGCTACCCCATTCTGTTGGAGTGTCAAGGCAGCTGTGAGTTGCCTTCTGACTCCAACTTGGTCACATAATTCTTTAAATTCAGTGAGCATAAACTCACCTTCTCTGTCAGTTCTCAAACATTTGATCTTTAATCCTGTTTCTTGCTCAACCTGGATTCTGTACTTCTGAAACCACTCAAGAGTTTCTGACTTGGCAGTTAAGAAATACACCCACAGCTTTCTGCTAAAGTCATCAGTCAAGGTAAAAATATACCTTTTTCCACCATTTGACTCTGGTGTTAGAGGACCACACAAGCCAGCATGTACAAGTTCCAGTTTCTGGCTTGCTCTCCATAAGCTTTTCTTTGGAAAAGATTTCCTGTGTTGCTTACCAATAAGACAGGTTGCACAGACCCCCAATTCTCCTTTCAGTACAGGCAAGTCCACAACAAAACCTTTCTGCTGCAAATGCTTCAATCCTTGTATGTTAGTGTGCCCAAACCTTCTATGCCACAACTCCAGGTCTTTCTCCTTGCCATTGACAGTTTGAAAACACTGAAAGTCTTGCTCTCTTGGCTGATCTTTAGGATGTATAACAAACATCCTATTTGACTTCATTTCTGTCTGCAGCAGCAACCCTTTCTCCTCATGAAAAATCTTGCAACATTCATCTTTAAACAGGAAAGCTAGACCCTTCTCTTGCAACTGGCCAATACTCAACATATTTGTCTTAAGACCAGGTACATAAAAGACATCACTGATAACCATGTTCAGGTTTGCAGCCTCAATTTTTACACTTCCCTTTGCTGCAACCTCCAGCTTGTTGTTGTTACCAAGTCTAACAGAACCTGTAGAGTCAGTATTCAACTCTGTAAACCACTTCTTGTCTCCTGTCATATGATTACTACATCCTGAATCCAAGAACCACCAGTCCTCATGCCTGTCTTGTTTCACTTCTTCAAGTAATGCCATCAGTCCTTGTGCTTCCTCCTCCAACTCCAGTGAGCTTTCAGAGTCAACAGAGGCCATGAGCAACATATCATCCTTCATATCTCCTTGAGCCCTGGTTTGCAGTTGATTGGAGTTAGCATAGTGTGCTTGAGGACCATTATACCAATCAGGACACTCATACTTGAAATGTCCTAGTCTGTGGCACTTAAAACACTCAACAGCCTCTTCCCCTTCCTCTTCCTCTTGCTACACCTCCATATCCTCTTCCTTGACTTCTTCCTCCTCTACCATACTCATAAGATGCTCTGAGAGCCTGGTCATCCTCAATTACAGTCTTTGCAGTTTTTCTATTAAACTTCTGCTCATGCACCAGCAATGAACTTTGTAGAGCATCAACTGTCAGAAGATCAATATCTTTGGATTCCTCAATGGAACACACAACATAATTGAACCTGTCAGTCAGAGTTCTCAAAATTTTCTCAACTACCTTGTCATCTGGCATATCCTCTCCACAATTTCTCATAGTGTTTGCAACTACCATGACCCTACCAA